GGATCAGTTCACTTTGAAGCTGCCTATAGAATTTTAAGATATCTGAAAGGAACTCCAGGAAAAGGTATATTGTTCAAAAAACACAACCATTTGCAGGTTGAAGTTTATACCGATGCTGATTGGACAGGAAGTATGACAGATAGAAGATCTACTTCTGGTTATTGTTCATTTGTTGGAGGTAACTTAGTAACTTGGCGAAGTAAGAAACAAAATGTAGTGGCTAGAAGCAGTGCTGAAGCAGAATTTAAGGCCCTGACCCATGGTATTTGTGAAGGGATGTGGATAAAAAGGTTACTTGAAGAATTGAGAGTATTTCAGAAAGCACCCATAAAAGTTTATTGCAACAACAAGGCTGCCATCTCCATAGCCCACAATCCAGTTCAACATGATAGGACTAAGCATATTGAAATTGACAAACATTTCATAAAAGAAAAGGTTGATACCAGCGTGATACGTATCTCTTACCTCCCAACAATGGAGCAAACTGCCGATGTGTTGACAAAAGGACTACCGAAAGTACAATTTGACAAGATGGTTGACAAGCTGGCAATGGAAGATATCTTTCAACCAGCTTGAGGGGGAGTGTTGGTTTATTATTTGTAAATATTAGCTGTAAATTAGTTGTCAATATTAATTATTATTTTATCTTTATTTCCATTTATGTTTGAGCCTATCTTCTATATAAAAAGGCCATGTATTTCTTATGATGAATATATTGGAATACAAATAATTTGATTCCATCAAAACTAAGTAATTGTACCAAGAGAAAAGGGAGATTAATCTTTGAAACAGGGAGCTTACTTTTGTTTTCATCAAGAAATAAACTTTTCATTGATATATGAAAAGAAAGATAAATTTCGAAGATACAAACTCCAAAATGAGTGAATAGAAAACCAAAAACAAATAATAAACTAAAAGGTCCAAGAAGATAAATAATGAAGAGCAAAACACTTAAAAACTTCAACAAGCCAACAAGTCTGAGGAAACAGAACTGCCCCATCAAGCATTAAAGGCTGCATCAAGCTATCTTGTCAAAGGAAAAAGCCCACTGAAAATCTTTCTTAGTGACTCTTATCCCTGATATAAACTTCTCAAAAATTGATGAAATTCCAATGGTCGAATTGCCAAGTACTGTCATACTTTTTACCTTGAAGACACAACAATTACTGATTGGAATTGCAGTTAAAGGACTTGCATGCAATTGGCCATTTGAAATTAGAGACCAACGGGTCTCACCTCATTAATAGGAATATCTGAAATACTACCATTAGTATTATCATTAAAAGAAGTATCTTCCACATGCAATGCATGCCCTTTGCTTTCTTCGGCTATATACAAGAGGAAAAAACTCTTTTTGCTTCTCCAAGGCTGAATTAACGACATTAACAGCCACCAACTTTTTAGAATTTCATTCTTCAAACCTAACCTTTTTTCTTTTTGAGAAAATATATATTATATATATGTCAATTCATAAACTATGGTAATTACCAGACCAGCATGATAAACAAAATTCTGCAAAAAATATTTCAAAGAAATAGATAACTAAGCGTCAACTAGTATATGAAAAGGTTGATTCTTGGAGGAAATAGGATTCTATCTTTTGGATTCAAACGTTCAAGGAAAAAAGAGAGAAATGAGGCAATAAGTTTCAATGAACAATTGCATGGTTTTTGCTTAAACCACTCTGTCCATTTTCCCTCCCCAAAATTTTTGTATAAGAGAAATAGTGGTAAAAAATGAAGATTACTGTGGTGTTATAATTACTGTAAATATTTATTAATTGTTTTTTCTTTTATTTTTTGTAATTAGTAGATTATTGTGATAGATTCCTTATTTAGGTTTGTTTCTCACCTGTACTTAACGAGACTTAGGATTTTATTATTTAATGAGAGAAATAATTATTTTTTCTCTCAACATTGAGATGATATCAGAATGGGAAGTCCTGTGCTCGAACCTCTGCATTGTTGTTTCTTCCCCATTTATAATGATTTCCACTTGTTGGGCTTGTGCAATTATACAGACCCACAAGTTAGCGGGAGTGTTGAGATACACGTATATGAACTAAATTTACCCAATCCATCAGTTTAAGTTTTTGGATTGAGTGGTGGTTTATTCATCTTTAAGAATTACAATGAGGGATTAGAAGGTGACCTAATAATCAGGCCCAAGATAATTTAGAAAAAGATATCCATGTAGCAAAAGTAAAGAATATATAAAATTTTAGTGTCGACAACCCAAAGAGAGGCATCAAAATGGACGCTCTCCCTACAATTATTTGGCCCCAAATCCTCCACGCTTCAAGTTTTCAACTCCAATCTTGTTATTTTCTATAACATCCCAATATGGACAGACAACCTAATATCAGAAGGTCTTAAATCATCCCTAAATCTAAAAGCTTAAGTGGCAGAGCCTAAAGCTCTCTCAAAGAACTCTTCAAAAGAAATCTTTATTCACAATCACAATTGATTCAAGGCATGCCTAAACAAGAGCCTAAAGCCTCTACTAAGAGAGGAATTTTCTTTACTTCTTTTTATATGAAATATATACTTATAGAGGAATTAACAACGAACAAACCATTTACCAACAAAAATGATGAACTATTAGAAATTACAAAATCGTCCTATAATATCTTCATCAATTCCCTCCCTCTTAAAAAAAAATTCATCGTCTGAGTTGAAGTGCCCTCTGAATAACATAGTTAAGGTAAATTTAATCTTTTTAATATAGAATCAACACTCTCTTTCATGATCCCAAAACAAACACCATTAATACAAATTTGAGAGGAAATGATATAGGACCTCCTACTCTTATATCATATTAAATCACCATTAGACCCAAAATTTGAAGTTGTTGGCATAAGATAAATATGATATTTACAAAGAAAATTTAACAAACCACAATTCAAGACTGCAGAAACTAATTAAATCCTATAGCGTTGGTAGTTTTCTTCGACACTGTGCAGAAAGTTATCAAGAAATGATGCTTTTTATCCTATGATGCATAAGTTACATGAATCAAAATCTTCGATGTATTTCATGTACATATATGGAAAACATTTAACATAATATTATGAAAAAGAGAAATGCATACCTTGATCTTTATCCCCAGTATTTGGAAGAGCTGCGTATAGGCTAAAATCACTGCACGGGAACAAGAAGAGAGAATTATTTATGTTTTTTTTTCTCACTGAGAAACTAAACCTTCATATAGAAAATGAATGAATACAGAAGGACAATACAAAAGATAGAGAGAGAGAAAGCCCAAGACAAAAGACAAAAGGAACCTTGGTTATTTATGTTGAAATATGGGTTTATTCAGCCAACTGTGGGCTCACACTTTTCCAGAATTGACCAGCCACATTGGATTCCTTTTTGTTTCCTTCTTTACACGCTCCTCATGTATTTACTATTTAGTTACTATTTTATGCTTTCCTTTTGTGTCCAAAATGTATTTGAATAATCGTTTCAGTAATGTAATACACAACAAAATACATTCTGCATTACAAAGATCATGGTACCTGGAAATTTTCCTTGGTACTAGTACTACTGATCTGGTGTCTGGGTCAAAAAGCAATTTTTTTAACAAAAAAACAAACTTTTTATTGATATATATACATACATATATACATATATATATATATATATATATATATTCCTTCTTTTTTTCTAATAACGGGGAGCCAGAGCTTTGCTCCCCTATATTGAGGGGCACCCGCGCCCACCCCAAGGCTCGGATTTTTATTAATAGAAAAGGAACAAAATTGTCCAACAATACAAACTCCCATGGGAGAGAAAATAAAAATAAGAGAAAATCAGAGCTGTAGAAATAATACAAATCTTTCAAGACCTTGACCAACATATAGATAAAAATAGACAAACCAAACAATAACTATGTAAACCACAAAAACCACAAGCAACTGATACTGAGAAGGGTGACCACCAATCTTTAAAGAGACCAACTTCAAAGATCTTTCAGAACTGGCACATCCTATCAATGTTTTAAAAGGCTAAAGGTGGCCTCGAGGCTTTTCCTCTCAAAGAGGCAAGGCGTAAGCCTCATGTTTAATTAAAAAAATTATACAAATCTAAAATTTGTATGATCAAGTATTGCTAAACACAATAGTTATATAAAAGTATAAAAAAGAAATCACTTGTTAATTACCACTTAAATAAAAATCGTAGAAGACATCATCAATATCACTACAATTATCACTAATAGGATTGACTTATTCTATAAAATTTGTCTCCAATGTTTTTAAAGTCTAGGTAGTAAAAGTAGTAATAGATTGAATTGTTATTACTCCAACGATCCATTCCATATTCAAATAAACTTTTATACTTTTTAAGAATTGGGCAAATTAATAACATCATTCTAATCATTGTAGTGAAGACTTTAAGCCTTGGTGCTTCAAAGAGGCGTAAGCCTTTTATGGTTCAAAGAAGGCGTAAGTCTCAAGGCTAAAAGTTAAAGCCTTGCCTCAAGGCGTAAGCCACAAGAGCCTTTTAAAACATTGCATCCTATAGACCCAAGGCTTTAAACTTGCTGAAGATTTTAGACAAAGCTTCTTCTAGCCCCTTATACTCAAACTGCAGCTCCTTCTTCTAGCATCATTCTCTACCAAAGAGACCAGATCACTTTGCAAATTTTCTAATTCCATATTCAGAAGGCCAAACCAATCGTGATGCCCACTAACAGTAGAATTCTTGAAGAACAATGGAATAATCCTTTTACTAATGAGGAGGAGTCTATTTATAGAGGCTGCCTCTTAAAAAGAGAACATGGTAACTACGAGTTACTGTGCAGTAACTGTACAACTAACAAAACAGAAGGTATTCTCTTAACAAATAACGCAAAAACTGAAAAATAACCATCTAACTACTACATCAAACTGATTAGGGCAAGGATAAAGAAGCTAGAAGAACCCAAATAATTGGAGGAGGCTTCCATTGAAAATTCATAGGAAGAGGAATAAATCTCACACCTTGCAAAGGTCAAAAAGCAACTAATGGCTACTGAAGGGTCAAAATCAACCAAGGAGGAATAATTCCGTGAAGTCCACCAATCCTCAAAGCATTTTTATGGTGTAGCGTTTATCATAAGTCACAAACACAGAGGAAACAATTCTCTCTGATGGTCGCTGGTTGTTTTTATACTCATATGCAATCGAAGCAAAGACCACTACTTGAGAGGAGCTATGAAACGACTAGAAACTACAAGCCCAGCCACATTACAAAAACTGGAAGCCAAGAACAATTTTGTGAAGTCGTGGTTGATCAATTTTCAATTAATTCCATACCAAGCGGGGGATAAGAAATAACTTTTTTCCCTACCAGGCAGACAATTTCAAACCTTGAAAATACTTTAGAATCTTTCAAATTAAAGGAAAATTTCATGATCTTCCACAGGAAGACATGCCTATAACTCAGCAGTACAGTACTTCAGTCTCCTCATTCATGATTGCCAGCAGCTAAACCTTTTTTTCCTTTTTGAACAAGGTACAAACTTCTCATGGATTAATGAAAAGGAACAAAATTTTTACAATATCCCAAAAGGAGAGAAAAGAAACTAAACAAAAGGAACTAGAAAGAATAATGACAAAAATCATAAGTGCTACCTTCAGAACTAGCCTTCCTCTTGCAAAGAACCAACTATGTAAAAATGTAGGAAACTAGGCATAAAATCTTCATCTTCAGCCCTATAAGACTTTAAGAATAAGGAGACCACACTAGAACTTTCAAAACCCTTAACCAAAGCAGCAGCTAAACCTTTATAAATCAAATGATTGATCATGAGCTAATACTGCCACAAAATATTGGAAAATTGTTAAGATATGAATCTTCTAGTTTCACCTAGGGCTAAATAAATACTTGGACGGGGTACATGGTAGAATTCTTTCAATCAAATCATTATCATCCATTCAAGAAGTATTCACCACGGTCCATCCAAAATAAAGCAGAAGCTTAGTTCAAATCATATGACATCTAAATCCTCTTTATTAATTTAAAGAAGTTATTCAAAATTATTCTGACAATCAACAAAAGAGAGAGACTCTCTAGTGTGAGGTATTGTAGGAAGATGTTCATGGTCATACCAAGGAACATGTCAGGATACCCATTGTAAACATGCAGATTGGAAGGCTCCCAAAATCAGCAAGGTAACTTCAACCCCTACTACTGACAAGAAAATAATTCTTTTTTTTAACAATATACGAAAATTTTCATTGACCAATGAAAATAAACAAAAGTTCAAAGATACAAATTACAAACTCCAAAAAAGGAGTGAAAGGAAAACGAAAAAACTGAAACAACAAAAGAAGTGAGAAACTAAGTAGAGCAAAGAAATGCATTCCAAGAGTCAGAAATCTATCCAGCTGTGTAGTTCTTGAAAAGTGGCGAGATGGACACCAAAAAGAAGCTTTAAATCTGGTAAGTTCAAAGATTCCACCCAATCTTTGCTTTTGTCATGGAAGAGCCTTTGATTCCTTTCAAACCAAAGTTCAGACGTAATTGCTTTGACTGCATTTATCCAAATCAAACGGGCCTTCTATAGAAGTTATTTGGAAAGCACCACAGACAACCTCCTACCCCAACCAACAACAAATTCCAATGCAGCAACTTTAGCCCATAAAGGATGTCCCACAAAGATACAAGTTTATCCCAAATAAAGTACATCTTTTATCCCCTAAAAGAAAATGAGATGACTCGAGATAAGCCGTGTTCTGCACCTATGGAATCTCAAGAAAAGCCTCCTAATAAAAGATAACCTATAGGCAAAGGAAGGTGGAAACAGTTGGCTGGGCAACTTATTTACCATTTTCATATTAGACCTATTTACTTTGCTCTTAGTAATGTATGCCAAATACAAGGAGAGACCCACTAACACCATTTTAATCTATCATTCTCGGAAAAAGAAAAAGATTTGCAAGTTGGAACATAACATTTCTATGGATCTAGGATTTCATTTCCACTGTTTGTCAAATTCAATTAAGAAAATGACCCTCCCATTTTACCCCAATTTGATCTTACCAACCGACAAGTTCATAACAAATGCATGAAAGTTGAAGTAACTTCTCATTTTACTGGAGAGAGGGAGGAGAGGTGGGCAAGAAAAATACCTAACACAATCGAGTAGCATAAAGATTGCTTCAATGTTCTGATTATGACGTTTGAGCAGCCCAATGAGAGCTTCACCAGCTGATGCTAGAACTCTATCATTTGATGAGTAGACAAGACGTACTAAAGAAGGTAAAACCAAAGAAGGGTCTGCACAATATTAATGAAAAAGAATGGAAAACAGAAATCAGTTATAAAAAGCACCACAGAAAATGTTGATTGCCATTAATAACAAAGGCCACAGAGGAAATTCACAATATGCAAAAACCCAAGTAGTTAGCTATTATTGCATATGGAAAAAGAATTACATAGTAATGCTTCATGCGGCATTTGGAATCGGACAAAAATGATTTCAAATTCTAAGATTTTAAAAGATGGAAATTATTATTGTTTGGAATTTGTTGTTTGGATGTTCACGAGAAATGAAAAGACGTATAACATTTTCTTGTTATGCCCTTATAATTTTGCATGGTATTGTATTAATAATAATAATATAGTATTTTAATAGGAAATAGTAATTTCAAGTACGTGTAAAAATAAAATCATTTAATCAAATAAACTTAATAAATTAAAATTTGCTAATTAAAATTATAAAAAAACAAAACAAAACAAAAAAAACAAAAAGCAAAAAAAAAACAAAAATCAAAAAAAAAAAAAAACTTGTAAATATCTTCCTTCAGATATATATTTTTCAAAAACTTAAAAGTCGAATTATTTTAAATCTAAACCAAGATAATCAATACACTTATCTACACTATATATAAAAGGCACACAAGGGAGAAACTCCATTTTGCCATGTTAATTTTAATCTTTTTTTTTTTTATAAGAAACAGAATATATCAAGACCAAAGGGGGAGAACAGGCTATGGGTAAGGGCCGAGGAGGCCCTCCCTAAGAAAGCTACCACATGTAAATCCTGGGAAAGTAAAGCTAGACTATAATTACAAAAGAATCTCCTATAAGTAAGGCACCACGAGGCCATAGTAATTTGTACATTTTCACAAAACAAAATATCAAAAGGAAGAGAAGTATAGTTGAAAACTCTTTGATTTCTTTCTTTCCATATACTCCAAAAGCAAGCTCTACCAGCACAACTCCAAAGGACCTTCAATTCCCTTTTAGAGTACTGCCCTGAACTATTTCAAGAAGCCAATCATCAACCATCTTGGCAAGACACCCCGAGAGGCCACATTCCCTCATCAAAAAGGACCAGCACCTAGAAACAAAGGTGCAATGAAGAAACAAGTGACCAATATTCTTGTCATTTCTAAGGCAAAGGGAGCAAACCAAGGGAGAGAGCATCCAATTTTGAAGCTTTTTCTGCAATTTTTCATGAGTATTAAGGCTTATGTATGCAAGACTCCAAAGAAAGACCTTGATCTTCTTAAGGCAAGAAAATTTCCGTATCATGTTAATAAGAGGAGACTTTAAAAAATGGGTAACTTCTGTTAGTTTTAGGAAAGTGGATTTGGTGGTAAAATGTTTCTCACCTCCCAAAGCCCACTCCACCTTGTCTTCCCCCGACCCCATCTAAAGGAATTCAACAACTCCACCAACCTCATTGAACTATCCATCTCTCTTTCAAGCAAGCCTCTTCTGAAACCCAAGCTCCAATCACAATGCTCATTGTTCCAACATTCAGCCACTGTACTATCTTTCTTAGTTGTTATTTTGTATAAATCTGGAAATCTGGTTTCAAAAGGAGTGTTTCCCAGCCAAGAATCCTTCCAAAATTTGATTCTATGACCACTTCGAACCTTGAATGATATAAATTTCATAAAACAAAGGCTCATATCGCAGCTATTTCCACCCAAGGCCACCCCTTAGTAGCCCCTCTAGGAGGGGGAGGCAGCCAACAATTGCCATCCCTGTTGTAAGTACTCGAGATAACGCGTTTCCACAAGGAATTTTCTTATTGAATGAATCTCCACAGCCATTTTGGAGCAGAGCATTATTTCTGTGTTTGTAAGCTTCAATCCCTAATCCAGCATAAACCTTTGGCAAAGAAGTTCGATCCCAACTCACTAGATGCCGCTGAGGATGACAACCATGTCCACTCCAAAACAAATTTCTAACAATCTTCTCCATTTTTGTGATCACTTTAATTTGGGGCCTTGAAAACAGAGAAGGCATACAGAGGAATACTATTCAAAACAGAGAGAGAGCCATAGTAAGCCTTCCTCCTTTTGAAAGCATAAGATTTTTCCAATTTTCAAGCTTTTTTTTTTTACATCTGTGTGTCCAAGCCAGCTCACGCGCACCTCGACTATTCACAGGCCAACTGCCTGACCCTACTACATTTGGTTGACAAGGAAACTCGTAGGATTTTTCCAATTTTCACGCCCAGTATTTTCAAAAACTCGAGACACACTAAACCGCAATAGACCTCTGGAGCTTAAGTTCGAGGCACAAAAAAAAAGAGCAGGCTTTTTTTCGTGAGGCGCACTATATATAAAAATAAATAAATATATATATACACATATATAACATCTAAAAGCCAAATAATATTCAAAGTTCAAACATTATAAAGAGAAAAAGAGAGAGAGCAGAGATTTAATCGAGAATGAGACTTGAGAGAAGAAGCTTTACAAATTCCACTTTTCTCAAATAATTTCTCCCACCAAATTCCCTCATATTCTACCAATTCTCCCTCCCCCCTCCTTCCCACGCCACCCCTCTTAATTTCCAAATATTTTCTCACCACCTTTACAAATTCCTCTTTTCCCAAATAATTCTCTCTCAAAAATTTCATTTATCTCTCTTAATCCTTTCATTATTTTTCTTTCTTCTCTTAGACTCTTTTTTCCTCTGCCCATCCAAATTCCTTATACAAATTATCATCTATTTAAGTTTATTTGGAATTTGTAAAGGTGAAAATATAGTATTTAGAAAGAGAGAGAGAAAATTTGAGGGGTGGGGATCGAGAGAGAAATAAATTTGTAAAGATTGAGAGATAGTATTTAGAAAGAGAGAAAAAATTAAAGGAATTGAGAGAGAGATTTGTGTTTGAATGACAAAATTGCTCTTAAGGTAATAGTAATGAAATGATAAATTCTACGTGTATCGCACGTGCTGCTCACTAGTCATAACTAAAAGAACTTCAACCATAATCCAACTTTCCCTCATCTTTCATTTATTTTATTTCTTATTGTTATGCCCCAACTTCATTTTTTTCAAAAAAAAAAAAAAACCCCACATTAAAATGAATGAACATAACAAATGTCATACTAAAACACAAGAATGAAAGAGAACATGCAAAGAATTACAAAACAATATTTCAACTAATAAAAATGTAAGAAAAATCATTAAAAAAAAAACAAAGATAGTTAAAATAACCAGAGATTTTAAATATGTCAAACTACCAATCTCTTTACAAATCCGTCCTATTTGGAACGGTAACTTTTTTTACCAAATTAAATTGAAATAAAAAAAATAAAAAAAGAAAACTGATCAAAGACATACCAAGCAAAATAGAAAATTAACTTGGATTTTGTTTGAATGATGATCTAAAAAGATGCGTGTAAAAGGGAGGCAAAAGAGAAAGCCAACTATAATATGGCAATTTGCCTAAAAAAAATACAAAAAATTATTATATGGGTGTAAGGTGGAGTGATGTGAGAAAATAATACAAATTCCTTTTTTTTCCTTTTCAAATCAAACAGCATTAACGATTTAAAAATCATTCCTTGCAAATCAGGGATTCCAAACCTAAGGTAAAAGCAGCTCACTACCGTAAGGCTGCCAATTCAGGGTTTTTTCTTAAAGATTTTTTTCTTCTCTTTTTTTTTTCTTTATAACTAGAGTCAAAAGCTTTGCCTGCCTTTACTGGGGGGCCGTATCTGGGAGATATCAAAAGTTTGTTTGTATTAAGCTCATCCGAAGGTTCAAACTTGAGAGCACTAAGCCGGTATGATCGAGATCTCAAACTCTTGCCAATGGGGCAACCCCTTGGGGTCTAATATCTTAATTTTATTAATCAGCTATCTAAAAGTTTTATATCCCTAAATAAAAAAAAAAAATTTAAACCTCATTAACTGCTAAAAGCAAGATTTAATCCCTATAGACAATCAATACTTAAAAATAAAACTAAAAATCATTAATAAAAATTAAAGCTAAAGATAAATTAATATACAAATTAAATAAAAATATACATAAAATGAGATTATGCAGATTCAATTGGCTACCTTCCAACAAATGGAAATGCAACATCCATTACACTTTTACATAGACACCTAGGTAGGTGACTAAGATGTTTGAAACTGGCAAGATATGTTGTATGGGAGGGCCTAAATGTGGAAGAAGGTAGACGCCATTAAAAGAAAAATGGACCATAGGAATAAGTATGACGAGGATGGATTTCTCTTTTATCAAAATAGTTCTAGAAGTTTCAATTAGAAAACCTTTGGTGGCACAAAGTGATCTCAACTAAATACTGCAAGGCCCTTGACACTATATTATTAAGGGCAGACACATGTTTGTTCCAGCCTGCTCCCCTTCGAGATGAGTTAGAGGCCATAAAGTTTAGATTTAGGAAGACAATTGGTTGACGGATTGCATTGAGAATCTTTCCTTATTGTTGTAATAAAAAATGACTTTCATTAAGAAGAATGAAGAGTACAAAAACAAAACAGCCCAGCCATGCAAAAGCAGACGCCCAGGCAACCAAATAGCCCCTATTAGGTATCCCTTTCCTATCTAGGATGAAAGGTAGAAAAAAAAGGGCCCTAAAGGCACATCATATAATGCTCAGCCTATTCAAGAGGGCTGGCTGGCTCTCTACGCACTAACAGATTACCAAAAAGATACCCGTGAATCACACTCTTTCCCCTCCACTACATATATGCCATAACTTACTTTCCTGTGGAGTAATTCCCTATTTGCCCTCTCTGGCATACATTTTAACTAATTTCCTCTTTTTACTCTTCTTTATACTTGAAAAATATATCACCGGAGGTCAACAGCCTCCAATAACTTACAAGATGGAGCTCTAAAACTAAAATGTTTCTGCTGCAGATGCTACTTTGTAGTAAGCTTCTGCTATGCTACTCAATTTCCTAACTTTTACCTGGAAGTCAAGGTGATTTTTTTAGGAACAAGGTAGGGTAGGACTCAGTTAGGACCCTTGATCCAGTTCAGCTAGGTTCTTCCATCCAATAATGGAGAAATAATAGGAAGGAACGATAAGAAGATTGTAATATTTGTCCTACTAAGAAATCTCCTCATGTTTTTTGAGTATTCCATTTTTCAAACTTAAATGGGAAAACCCCCACAACACCCTCACCTTTTAACCTACTAAGAATCTCCAACACTCTCTTGTCAATGCTTTTAGAGCACAAGGCGCACTAAAATGCAATAGCCATTAGAAATTTGAGTGTGAAGCAAAAAAAAAAAAAAAGAGCGACGACTTTTTTCATGAGGTACAAAATGAAAAAATATAAATTACTTTTACATATATGATAAAAAAAAATAACGAAAAATAAGATAGTGAAAACTTTAAGGAATGAGGGCTTTCATAAAATATTTTCTTGGTTTATATATATGTGTGTAATACAGTTCGATTCTTCAATTAGCAGTACTTCTAGAGCCCACTTCTTCCCCAGAAAGGTATTAAAAAAACTAAGGCGTTCGCGTAAAGAGAAGCTGCCATGCTTTTAAGTTTTATGAGGAGGTACATGATGCGCTTAGTGCCTAGGAATGATTTTTTAAAATATTGTTAATAATCATACTAAACTACTTGAGAAAAACTGAAGTAGTTTAGTATGATTTTTTAATGATTCTCAATCCCTACTTCATAAACAGCTTTAAACAAGACAACCTCCCAGTTGACTAGGTGAGAACCACTTCCCTAATTGACCCACTCACTAGAGAATAAAATAAAAATCTCAACAACATCCCCACGACATTAGCCATATAACTCAAAAGTGGGAAATCATGTTACACAGGAAAGCAAATCAAACTGATTAAAACAGAACAAGCAACTATTAAAACCCATCGATCTGATTTTTTTTATTTTTACTAACTGAGAGTCAAAGCTTCGCTCCCCTATACTCGAGGACACCCGCACCCACCCCAAGACAAAGACCAAGGATACATCAAGGGTTTTTTGTATTAAGCTCATCCAAAGATTCGAACTTGAGACCTCTAAACTGGTATGATCAAGAGACCCCAAATCTTTGACGATGGGCTACCCCTTGGGGGCCGGCCCATCGAGCTGATTTTCCATAAGAACAATGTAAAACCAAAAGTCCTAATAAAACCGTCACGCTCAACTCCAATGCACCTTGAAAGAATCGATAATAAAATGGTTCACTTAATAGAGTACATAGCCATAAGAGTAAAGCCAAAAGTAATATTAAGAACTGTGCAAACATCAAAACTAACCAATGCAAGGAAGCAAATTAGCAGCCTGTTTACAGATTAGAATTTCTTCATCTTCTAGGCATTTGAGTAATCGGTTAGTAGTATCTTGCCTGCAGCAATTAACGTCATACAAAGTTATGCCAGTTCTAGATAACTAATGTAGGAAAAACAAAAAAATGACGGCAATGCTAGGGCATATGTACCATGCTGACTGAGTCAGTAAATTTCTCGTATTTGATGACATCTGAATAATTTCAGAAATCACATCAAGAGCATTCCTCCTCTGTATTATACTATCAGAATCAAATCGCTTAAAGACTTCCGAAAGGAACTGATTATCTCCGCTCCTGATAAACCAGCAGGTGAAAGTGAACCAAAAGAAGACAATGAATTCCAAGATCAGAGAGAGAGAAAGAGAGAGTACATTACACAGCATTCAGAAATGAGAATGGTGACAGCTCTAGCTATCATATCCCGCTCGTCTAGAAGGTTAAGCAACAACGGCATCACAACATCTAGTTGCCTAATATCAGGGATACTGCCTCCAGATGATAAATTTGAATTGAGAAAAACTGCCTTAAATATGCTAACAACCTCGTCAATGACATCTTCATCCGTACTATGGAACTTAAAAACAGAACACAAAAATAACTATGTAATCAAGTAAGCATAAATCACATGTTCAACAGAAATAAAGCAAATAGTATCGAATCGAAGCATTGCATTAGAGATTATAAATTTAAGGTAAGTCTTAACAAGGATAGTAATATCAATTATCAAGCTACCAAAGCATCAGTTCCATGGAAGAAAGAACATATCCATCTCATTAGGAACTGCTAACCAAGCATATTATAAAGTGATGGTAACTTCTACTCTAGAAACTCAAGATACCAAAGATTACAAAAATCTTCATTTGTTCCACGAGCTATGGAAGACAAGCCCTTTCAACATCGTACAATAGAGGAATCCTGCCATCATACTATCTCCTAATTGGTGTCTGTTACGCAACTAGTGGAACCAGTAACATATATCCTAGAGTTATTCTTGAGGTCTTATCATCTTAGATTGAAGCCCCTTTTTTGTATAGTTTATTTTTATATGTGTGGCAATTTTTTTTTTTTTTAACAAGAAACAAACTTCTCACTGAAATAATGAAAAGGAGTATAAATGTTGAACGATACAAACTCTCGAAAGAGTGAAAGAAAAACAAAATAAAAACAAACAGCAAAGATTAAAAGTGAAAGCAAAAGGCCCCCCAATTAGAACAAATGAGGGAAGAAGAATAATTCCCAAAGAGAGATGACATAGAACACCATTGTGAAGCTTTAAACTTAGCTAGGCTAAACCGATCAAACGGAGGTTTGTGCTGATTCTCGAAGGTTCTGAGATTTCTTTCAAACCAAAGCTCATAGAGCAAAGCTTTAATTGCATTTATCCATAAAAGACGACCTTGTGAAGACAAGTCCAGTCCGAGGAGTAATTTTTCATGTGTGCCATGAATGGTTTTTCATTAAATAAAAAAATTAAATTTAAAAATATATTTTCTTGAGTGCAATTTTATTAACAGTCTTTTATTTACAATCTTATTTGTACTTTCACTCTTTCGAGAGTTTGTATCTTTGAACAATTTTGTTCCTTTTCATTAATTCAATGAAGAGTTAGTATCTTGTTAAAAAAAAGATATTTGCTTGAGTTATGAGTTACTGGAAAGACTCGGTGGCCCTTTTTTGAAAAATTCAACCACCAAGTGTGCACCCATCATATTAATGATTTTGTGACACAATCACTGCTGGCTACACTTCTAAAGAAGTTAAGATCCTATGTTTATGGTAGCTTAATTCTAAGAACGTCTCTCACCGTTATCTTTTCACATCTTAAAGGAGTTTGGATCCTTTTAAAACTTTTATTATTTTTTTCTTTCTATTTATCAATGAAATTTTCATATTTTATTTTAAATAAATATATGGCATGTAGATTTTGATATATCTATTGGAAAAACCTAAATCCAAAAGATCAAGTGTTAAAAGCCATACTAGAATACAAATGAGAAGATGCAGAAATCTGATAGGATTGCTATTAGGACAAAATTAAGAATATTATTAGGGTATTAAGGGTATACTAGTAATTGGTTAGGAAAGCTGTTAGGAAAGTTATTGCCCCTTTTATCTTCCTAAGGCCCATTTAATTTGGGTTTGAGTGGTCAAAGCCTTATTATCCGAAATTTGGTTAGAAAGGATTCAAAGAATCTTACGAAACAAGTTCGAATGTTATGACCTTGCAAAGTTCAAGGCTTCTCAATGGTGTTTTTTTTTTAACAAGAAACAACTTTTCATTGATATTGGAAAGGAAAAATGTTCAAGATACAAACCTCAAATGGGCGAAAAAGAAATGAGAGAAGAAGAGAAAATAATGAAAAAATAGCACAAAAAGAGCAATAAAGCTCAAAAAAGATAAAAAAAATTCTAAAACAGAACTCAGAGAAACTGCTTGCTACAAAACTTGGAAAACCAAACTAGTTCCTGAGTCAGCATCTGCATGAGGGGAAAAACCTTCCTTAGCACCAAGAGCGAATATCAAACTCCAAAATGAACCAAGTAGAAGCTAGGGACACAAGAACTAGACCGCAGCCGGAAAAATACTAAGCCTCAATGCTGTCTTCAAAAAACCTCCAAATATAAACCATCATATGCCAATTGGATTGGAAAAAAACTTTGAAAGCCTCACAAACCAACCATCCAAACTAAAACTGCAAAGCTTTGAAAACTGCAGAAGGCATAAGAGAAGGCTTCTCAATGGTGTTCTCTTTCGGTTTTATTCTCGAGTTATTCTTCTAGTATCATTTTTTGTTCTTGGGAAGTTTTTATTTCTTCTTAGTCTTCTATTTCTTCTTGTTATCTGGTTTTTGTATTTTCTTTCACTCCTTTCAGTTTATATCTGTGTTTTTCTCATTTATCAATGAAAATTTTGTATCTTCTTTCAAAAAAAACAAATAGAGTGAGAGGGAAAGGGTGAAGGTAGGGCATTGGTTTAGTGTGGTTTAGGCTTGCATAAGTATACTCAAGAGAATGAGGGTTGAAGTACCTTCAATTACTTGGGAGTCCTTTTATCATTTTATCTTTCAATCTATTTTAGCTTTTGGTTCCTATAAAAATCTTATCTGAAATGGCTCTCCACCCTTCTATATGAAACTTTTATTTTATTGATAATGAAAAAATTGATCATACTTTTATCCATTGCCATTTTCGCTGCAAGGGGCTGGTCCTTTACCAGAAATGAGTTCAACTTATCCCTCTATGTTCCGTCAGTGGTTTAAGAAGAAGAATACTATAGAACTTTCTTTCAAGGATTTGACAGTTGGGCACTCATTTCAATGAAAGATGAAAGTCTCTATATGCCTATCTTCTTCACATAGATTTTTAGCAGCTTAAAAATGTTACATACATAAATAAATACCTGCAATAGCAGAACCTGAGAAATCTGAGTTCCATATTCTGATATTGTGCTTTCAAATCTTTTACTGTCAAGCCTACCCAGTAGAAGGCATAAACAATTCAGGAAAAAAATTGTGGTCTCTCTTCCATCCTTATTTCCGATATGTTCCCCAGTATGCAGCCCTGAATAATACTGAGAAAGAAAACAAAATATACAATTCAGAAGGCCATAATTCAAATTCAATAAGTATTATAGTCTTTCATGCTCTTAGAATAGTCGCAAGCCACACAAAAGCTTGTGTAGTCAAATTAACATCTCAAGAAGGTGCAACAGATTCATCACTACTTGCTACTCCACTGTTTAGTATGCTATAATGTCTGATGGATTGCTTGCAGATGCTCATAATCTCGAACAATGAATCAGATACTTCAGCAAGTACTCACTTTTCTCTCCATCTCTCATCATTTTCAGGTATTTTAATTTTTACAACTATAGGAAAATCTAAGTCAGGATCATTACAAAATCCAACTCCTGCCATAACCCCTCGAGAATTTTGTACCACTTGATCAAAGTCATGAAGCCTTAGCTTGTCCAGTATGTCAGATCCAATTTTATGTACTCAGAAAAAATTGATGAAGAAATATCTCAACCTATACCATCTCTTCGTGGAGAAGCTCAACATCCATGATATCCTTGATCAATAAGTTTGACAAATGCACTCTATCCATCACTACAATACTTAGACCAATCCATAGTTGACCATGGAATCCTGTCACCTCTCTCCCCACCATCAACCCTACCCATCACTCATCTCCGACCTCATGACGATATTAAGCTTCTGTACGAATAGCCATGACCAACAAACCAGCATCAACCCACAGATCCGCCACCATAGGAAGGAAACGCTTCTCTATAGAAGTTGACCAAAGGTACCGAGGTAGTCGCCTCAAAATATCTTAAACCTCAAAAGATAAGTACTTCTTCATTTACTTACATTGGTCCTCCATATCCTGGCTTGCTATATGTTTCTCCTCCCTCCTATCTGTCCCTATTAATCAAAGATTCTTCACAGAAACAAGGATCAATGGCCATACCATTTGGGTTGAAAAATCGTCCAACAAGAAAGGCACCATTGTAGAAATTGAACGGTTGGACAATAATGGGAGTATCAACAAAATCCTGGTCCCTGTGGGTGAAGAAAGAAGAGATTGGCACTCCTTTTACAAGCTCGTTAAATACTTGACACCAAACCCCCAACCCAAGAAATTTATTGCCACAACATCGGTCTGTCAACAACAAAAACCTTCTTTCTAGTACTGTGGTGTATTGAAAGTAGGTGAAGTCTCACCTTGAGGAAGGATCACAACTATTTGAAGTTCTTCTCTTGGAGAGTTTTCCTTGATAGCATGGATCTCCCTTCAGACGACACTCCTTTGAATGTTCCTAAAGATTTCATCGTCTCTTCTCTTAGTTGAATGAGTATCTTGCCTTCTCGATTCCGAACTCATTAGCCTTCGAGAAGAATAGACCTTAACGTTATAAGAATTTTCTAGAAGGCTGGATATTGACGTCGCTCGGGCTAGGGAGCTAGCTGAATTTCAAGTCAAATTCTCCCTGGTTTTCAAACATCTATATGCAGAAAATAAGGATGGAGAACCCGAAGTTAAAGACCTCTAAAATTTCTCTTTTGTGTCATCACGTCTTGGTGGATCTTTTTGTTTGAAGTTAGCTTGTTTCTTTTGTTGGTTTTTGGTATCACTCTCATGTTGTTTGTATTGCTCTCTGGCGAACCTATATTTTGCTTTCATTTTTTCCTTTTTCTCTCACTCCTACGGGGTTTGTATTCTTGAACTTTTTCTCCTTTTCATATATCAATGAAAAGTTGTTTCATGTTCAAAAAGAAAATAAAGTAGGTGAAGCCATTAACAAAGGTGGAGTTAAGAATCAAACAGGAACTCTATAAACGCAAACCCGAACCTTGACTCCTCCATTATTGTTTTCAGAAAACATCTCCATGATGACTGGTTCAAAATCATGAAGGCCATGCAAGAATCTATTAGTTTTTTCTGCTCCTTTTTAATCCACTTGCGGCCAACAGAGCCCTTCTCACATGTGAATAGATGATCTAGCACAAATTCACACCAACTTTGAAGATTGGTATAGAGTGGGTAAGTTTGACCTGAAATTGCACTTCGGGATAGCCACGCCTCCTACAAAGCATCTGCGGTTCCTTCATATGGGGGCTGGATCTGAGATATCTGCCTCCCGATCGATGGAATGAAGACACCCTAAGATTTATAGACAACATATGCGGCGGTTTCATTGAGACCTCAAAGAAGAATATCTCATGGTTGGACCTTTTCGAAGCTACTATTTGTGTGGAGAAAAATCCTACGGGTTTTATCCCAGCCACCATTGACCTAAGCCCTGAAAAAATCAAAGCTCTTATCGTCTAGATAGACCCTTTTTTCTCTAGCGAAAAATACATCGGATATGCGGCTGAAATCCATTGAGTTTGACCACCGCCAAAGGAAAAGAAGATGGCCTCCTCAGGCTGTACCCTCGAGACCTGCCCCTACAAGAGAAGCAGCACTTATTCAGACTTACAGTAGCCTTCGAGATACAACAATATTTTAGATTTGCAACAGGCTCCCTCTGACCTTTTTTGTCCCAGCATTGACTTTGGCTGCTCCAACGATAAAGATGCATTAAATGTGCTAGTTGTCAACACATTGCACCTGCCACCTCGACTGCATCACAAATTGACCATTGCTCAAAAGAAGAGCCCCGTGGATGAGAGCCCAGTGTTTGAATCAAACCTACCTTCCATTTGCCTTTATTTGCGTCCCCCTGTCAAACGGACAGAGTCCCTTCACACGCCCTTATCACCCACCCCCCATCCAAACATCCCCCTATCCCCCTTACCTTACCCTTGTCAACTTCACTACAAACCCAAAAGAGTCATTGAGATAGAGAAAAAAGGCATTCTTTGTCTCTGGCACAAAATTCACCACTAATCCCCTTCCCTCCGAACCAGATACAGAAAACCCCTTTCCACCCCCTATCCAACCTCCCACGTCTCTCTTCTCCAATCTTCCCCTCCCCTATCTCCCACCTATGGACTTTCTCCTCAAACCAACCCCCACCAAAGCTAACTCCTTGGCATTGCAAGTGTTTGATGATAGACAAGCGGATTTGCCCCCCTCCCCTCCATACTTTCGTGACCCATCCATCCACCCCTCTGTTTATCTATAATCAGTGGTTCCTTCGCTTAAGACCATGGGGTTGGGCATCCACCCTTTACCCACAAAGACACCAAAGCAAAATAATGAACAGCGAAAGTAGACCAAGTATGTTAGAGAAATTATCCGACCTTTATTCTTCCATCAACTACGATGGACCCTCTTCCTCCCTAACCAACGGCGGGCCTTCCACTTCTTAATGAACATTCTTTCTTGGGATGTCAGAGGTATTGGCTCAAGAGATAAACGAGCGCAAACCAAGAGCTTCATCCAACACCTCAACCCTTTCATCGTTATTCTTCAAGAAACCAAGATCGAAGTTGCTGACCAACTTTTTTTTTTAACAAGAAACAACTTTTCATTGATATATGAAAAGGAGAAAAAGTTCAAGAATACAAACTCCCGAAAGCAAAATATAGGCTCGACAGAGAGCAATACAATCAACATGAGAGTGATATCAAAAGCCAACAAAAGAAACAAGCTAACTTCAAACAAAAAGATCCACCAAGATCTAATGACACAAAAGAGAAATTTTAGAGGTCTTTAACTTCGAGTTCTCCATCTTTATCTTCTGCATATAGATCTTTGAAAACCAGGGAGAATTTGGCTTGAATTTCAACTAGCTCCCTAGCCCGAGCGACTTCAATCTCCAACCTTCTTCTAGAAAATTCTTCTAACGTCAAGGTCCATTCTTCTCAAAGCCTAACGAGTTCGGAATCAAGAAAGGCAAGATACTCATTCAACTAAGAAGGAGAAAGGCTTAAAATATATTAGAGAGAAGAGACGATGAATTCTTTAGGAACATTCAAATGAGTGTCGTCTGAAAGGAGATTTATGCTATCAAGGAAAACTCTCAAAGAGAATAACTTCAAATAGTTGTGATCCTTACTCAAGGCGAGTTTCTATAAATACTCAAAACAAGATGATAGACTTTAAATCAAATCACTCTGGAGCTTCAGAAACATTGCTTGGGCTTACAAAGGATCCACGAGTTCTTTTAGGGGCCTTATCATCTCATGGAATGACACATCCTTCTCTGTGGTAGATATAATTGTTGGCTCCTTCTCCCTCCCGCTCAAGATCACTCTTTCTGAAGGGTTCCATTTTTGGCTCTCTGGTCTTTACGGCCCCTCCAAAGCTAGAGAAAGACACCTTTTTTGGAAGGAGCTCCACAGCCTTGCTAACCGCTGCACCACCTTCTCGCTCCTCGGAGGCGATTTTAACATCACCAGATGGTCTCATGAAAAGTCCCATCATATGAGGCCCATCCAAGGCATGCGACTCTTCAACAAGTTCATTGCAGAATCTAATCTCAATGACCTTCCCATTCACCAATGGTCTCTTCACCTAGTCCAACTTGAGGGAGTCCTTTCTCCCTCTCTTATTGATAGGTTCTTATGTACTGATGTTTTGCTCTCTAAATTCCCTAATGCATTGGTCAAACGTCTGGACAGGGAAACATCAGACCACTTCCCGATTCAACTCTCTCTGTGTATTAACCAATGGGGCCCTTCTCCCTCCCGTTTTGAAAACATGTGGATGCAACATTCATCTTTCTCTCCCATGATGGATCTCTAGTGGAAATCAAATCCCTTGCAAGGATGGTATGGCCACGGTTTCATCCAAAAACTAAAGGGCTTTGAAGCAATCATCCAATCATGGAAAAAATATACTTTTGGATGCGTTCATAGGCAAAGAGACCAACTTCTTCTGGATCTAGCAGCCCTAGACACAAAAGAACAAAGGGGGGCCATTCAGCCCAGATCTCCCAAAGGACCACCTTGAAAGCACAACTCCTCGATTTAGCAATCAAAGAGGAAATGCATTGGCGCCAACGTTGCAAGGTGAAATGCCTTAATGAAAGAGATGTGAAGTCAGGCTTCTTTCACCGCTTGGTTGCAGCCAGACGTAGAAGAAGCTCAATTTTGGAGGTGCTTTCCCAATATGGTAGAAGTTTGATCGAAGACATTGATATAGAACAGGAGTTCCTATCTTTTTATGAAAACCTCTACACTAAAAAGAAAGGTACTAGATTTCTCCCACATCCCCTCCAATGGGATCCCATCTCTGCACACCAAAGAGCTCTTCTTGAATCACCCTTTACAGAAACAGAAATTTGGATGGCTATGAAGGATCCAGGACACAACAAAACACCGGGCCTCGAAGGATATACAGCAGAATTCTATAAAAAAATATTGGAACATTCTTAAAGAAGACATCCTTAAGAGTGTTCCAAGATTTTTTCCAGAAGGGTATTGTAAATGTCAACCTTAATGAGACATGCATTTGCTTAATCCCAAAAAAGGTCGATGCCCACACAGTCAGTGATTTTCGCCCCATTAGATTGATCTCATGTATGTACAAAAGCATTGCTAGAGTCCTTTCTGAGAGACTAAAGAAGGTCTTGTCGTGCACCATCACTCCCAACAGTCCACTTTTGTGGCTGACAGACAAATCCTATATGCATCCTTAATTGCAAACAAGCTCATTRATGATTGTAAACGGATAAACGAGAAAGGGGTGGTAATAAAGTTAGACATTGAAAAAGCCTTTGACAAGATGGATTAGGATTTCTTGGATGGCATCTCAAAAGCAGAAGGTGATCTTCAGTCACCGATGGAATCTTGGATCAGAGGTTGTATATCCTCCCCAAATTTCTCTATTATCATCAATGGCAAGCCCAGAGGTAAAATTAGAGCCTCTGGAGGTCTCAAGCAAGGAGACCCCCTCTCCCCTTTCCTCTTCACCCTTGTTGTGGACTGTTTAGTAGACTCCTCACCCATGCTACCTTTCCCTCTTCACCCTTGTTGTGGACTGTTTTAGACTTTTAGTAGACTCCTCACCCATGCTTCCAACTTGATAAAGGGCTTCTTGGTGGGGCAGAATCAATTGGAAATACACCACCTCCAATTCGTAGACAATACCATTCTTTTCTCTTCAACAAAGGACGGCCATCTTGTAAATCTTTTCAACACCATTCGAATTTTTGAAGAAGGGTAAGGGCTGAACTCCAATATCCAAAAGGCCGAATTAACGAATATCAACATGAGGGAATCTGATTTGGATCTCTTGGCAGGTTGGTTTGTTTGCAAAAAAGGATCCTGGCCCAACTCATATCTTGGCCTGCCCTTGAATGGTAAACCGTATACAATCTCTTTTTGGGATCCCATATTGGAGAAGATGAGGAAAAAGCTCAGCTCTTTGGAGAATTATCCTATCTCAAAAGGTGGTAGGCCCACCCTCCTACAAGCTACACTAACCAATCTCCCTATATATTATCTATCTATCTTCTCCATTCAATCACTAGTAGCCAAAGAGTTCTCTCCTGAGGAACTTTCTATGGAAAGGAAACAGCACAAATAAGGGACAGAATCTTGTGAGATGAGAAAAGGTAATCCTCCTCTTAGAGGATAGAGGGCTGGGAATTGGCTACATAATAGGAAAAACAAAGCCTTCCTTGCTAAATGGATTTGGAGATTCCACGTCGAAGAATCCGCCCTATGGAAAAGAGTCATTGCTGAAAAATATGGGCTCCTAAACCGTCACCACAGCTCCTTACAGTCCTCCATAACATCTGTCGTGGTCCTTGGAAATCTATCCTCAGACATCATCAACTTATCATGGACAAAAGCATCTTTAAGGTTGGTGATGGAGCAAAAACTTACTTCTGGAAGGATAATTTGCCGGAGAATGTGCCTTTTTCTAATGCCTAGACTTGCCCTCTCCTCTTTCCCTTGCACTCCAGAAAAGATGCTACTGTTAAGAAATGTTGGTCGACAGCAACAAATTCATCGGACATCAGCTTTAGAAGGAACCTCAAAGAGGCAAAATCAGTATCGTTTCTCCACCGTTTGTCTTCCTATCATCAAAATCAAGAAAGTGACAGACTTATATGGAGATTGGAACCATCGGGACTCTTCACAACCCGCACTCTCATCCACGACATGGCAAATCCCTCAACCCCTCAAACTGATGGTCTACTCTATAAATCGATATGGAAAGACCCAAAGAATATCAAGTTTTTTCTTTGGGAGGCCAGTTTGCTAGCTTTAAACACCCACGACAAGCTCCAAAGGAGGTTGCCGTTGATGTGCCTTTCTCCTCACTGGTGTGTTTTGTGTAAACAGCATGGTGAATCACAGGGACATCTTTTCGCTACTTGTAGCTTTTCAACCACACCCTGGCACACCATCCTATCATCCTTTAGCTGGTCATTGGTCCTACCGACAGAACTCCACACTCTTTTATCTTCTACTCTCACAGGACACCCCTTTACTAATGAGGCTAAAATCCTGTGGATGCATTTTATTAGGGTCTTACTGTGGTCGATTCGGCTAGAAAGAAATCATAGGATCTTTCAAGGAAAAGAGTGATTTATCAGTAACATTTTTTAATCTATAGTGTCATTGGTTGTATCTTGGTGCAAATGTTCTCCCATCTTTCAACACTATAGTTTTGTCTCTCTTTAACCAAATCCAAATGGAAAGCATTTTTTGTAGCTCCATTGGTTTCGGATGGTATCCCCTCTAGTATATCTTACATTTCATTGCATTAATGAAATTGTTTCTCTTCCAAAAAAAAATAATAATAAAATTAGTTTGACAAATGCCAAGACCTATGAATCCATTAGCCAAGCCATAGGTACGTAACTTCCTCATCCATGTGAGGAGCCTTTTAAAATTTTTAATACAGTCAAGTAACCAGTTTTATCCTCCCAATGAAGAAAATAACTTGTGGCTAGTGCAAGTAATTCAGACCACCGAACTTGTGGGAGCTGATGGGCACTTGATGCCTGGTTCCATGCTTTTGATTTCAAATTTCTCCAACACATTTAACACGGTTGGTTCAATTGTTTTAGGATTCTCCTTCACCAAATTCTGACATAGTGAAGAGAATTACAGAAGGGGATGTTTACCATATTGTCAGAAACATTCAACAACAACGGTGGAAAGGAAAAACCATCGACATCTAGGGTAAGAATAAGGAAAGACTAGATGAGCCCTGATGCATGAAGAAATTAATTTTTACCTTTCTTCTCTAGATAAAGAAAAACTTCATAGATTTACATGATATTGATATACAAAATCGAGCAGACAAAGAAAGAAAAACACTCAAACCGAACATATAAAATAAAATAGTATAATCATTAATGGAAAACGAAAAGTAAATATATATTAGATAAGACAAAAAGGAAAGTAAAAAATAACAATTGGAAAACCGCACCGGTTGCTCGCAATCGAATTTTCCAAAAAATTAACAAACTGCACTACCTAAAATTAAAATCTTAAAAGTATCATGATGTAAATTGTCAAACTAAATTTTTAATACTTAACCTGGATGCCTGACAAGTACTGGTTCAACCAATCTTGGTAGTGCTGAGAAAATCTATAATCTTCCAAAAATAATAAAATGCTGTAATGCCTCCAACAAGAAGAGAGTAGCAATGCTCCAGTTTGCAGAATATTTGATTTTGCCTTTCCTATGGCAAACCAAACAAATGATTTAACATACAACATTAACTGATCGATTAAGATATGATTTGAATAATTTATTAGAAGTAGGACCTGCCTCATTTTGGAAGTTACCATAATGCACATTTATCTCATGCAACCACGTAAGCACTTGCTCCAGACCTTTTGCATGCAATGGCCGACTTTTCCTGCTCCACTAAAGTACAAATGAAGAATATCAGTACAATTAAATCAACTCATATCCTGAGCCAAAGTACACTGTTAGATATCAAATTATTCATGCTAGACTTCCCAAGCCCATCAAATAAGACATTAAAAGAATGTTAAATGTACTACATCCTGGCCAAGAGAACATATAAAATATGGTTTTTTTTTTACAAGAAACAAACCTTTCAATGATAATATGAAAAGAAGAAAATGTTCAGGGATACAAACTCCCAGAGGGAGTAAAAAGAAAGAAAGAACAACCAACGAAAAGCCACCATGAAAAAGATACAAGAGAATAGAACAAAAAGCCAAAACCACACTACAAACTGCAAAAGCAGCACCACTAAACCTAAAGCCAAAGAATGTAGTTGAGAATAAAAAACAAATAATAGTTTAAAAAATAAAAATAAAATTTTTGGTAAGATTAACCAGAGCAATAGATACTTGTACATGTGGTTGCATTTTTTATAATAAAAAAAGGGTGTCAAGTGAATTGTGTACCAAAAAAGCATGAACGTAACCGTTTTTAAAAAATTTTAAAATATACATAAAAGGAAAAAACAATGAAGGAAAAAAAACTAAGATTTCCACCCAAACCCATAGACAAGAAGATAACCACAAGACCCTCTAATAGCCAAAATTAAATCAAAAAAGTAATGGTTAAACTTTTTTCTACCAAGTCGCCCTAACATGAATACGAGCTTTTTTCATAGAGTGTTGGCTGCAAGGCGTAAGAAAAGCACTATTTTTGAGATCCTATCAAGGGGCGGCCGAAGCTTGATGGAACAGGTTGCTATAGAAACAGAATTCTTCTCCTTTTATAGAGACCTATATAACATAAACGACGGGTCGGGTTTCTGTCGCATCCACTCAATTGGGATCCCATTTCACTTAGAAACTCCCTTCCTAGAGTCTGAAGTCTGGCAAGCGGTTAAAGACCTCGGTTCCAACAAAACGTCCAGCGCGGATGGATTCACGGCTGAATTCTACAAAAAAATATATTGGAACATCCTCAAACAAGATATTACGAGGGTTTTCCAAGATGTCTTTCAAATGGGTATCATAAACACTTGCCTTAACGAGATGTATATCTACCTTATTCAGAAAAGGTGGATGCCAAAACCATCCGTTACTATCGCCCGATCAGCTTGATCTCCTATTTATATAAGCTCATCGCCTGTGTCCAGTCATAGAGGCTCAAACGTGTTCTTCCACACACTATAATAGCTTATCAATCTATGGCTAATAGACAGATCCTAGATGGCTCCTTAATTGCCAACGAGCTCATTGAAGAATGGGTTAGGAAGAAGAAGAAAGGGGAGGTAATCAAGCTTGATATAGAAAAGGTATTTGACAAGGTCGATTGGGACTTCCTCGAAGGAGTCTTGGCGACCAAAGGTTTTAGTCATACGTGGAGAAAATGGATCCGAGGCTACATCTCATCAACTAACTTCTCGATTATCATTCATGGTCAACCTCAAGGTAAGATCAAAGCCACAAGGGGAATGAGGCAAGGAGACCCCGTCTCTCCCTTTTTTTTATCCTTATTGATTTTTTTTTCTTTTTTGATAACTGGAAGTCAGAGCTTTGCTCCCCTACCCTATACCCAGGGCACCCGCGCCCACTCCAAGGCTCGGACCCCAAGCCCTTTTTATCCTTATTGTTGACGGTCTTAGCAAGCTCTTAAAACATGCAGCGAGCGCCAGAACCATTTAAGGTTTCTCAGTGGGATGCTCCTCACAACAGATCACCCACCTTCAATTTGCTGATAATATCCCTCTCTTTTCTGTAGATGATAATCACAAAATCGAGAATCTGTTTCACCTCATCAAGGTCTCTGGGGAGGATTTGAGTCTTTAACTCCAACTAAATTTGAGATTTTGGGCATCAATGTTGGGAATTCTGCCTTAGAGGCTCTTGCTAACAGGTTTGAGTGTAGACAAGATAGTTGGCCGAATACCTACCTTGGTCTTCCTCTTAATAGCAACTATCACTCTCCCTCCTTTTGGGATCTGTTTTTGGAGGAAGTTAAAAAACGGCTCTCGTCATGGAATCAGACACACATCTCCAAACGTAGACGACACACACTCACCAATGCTGCCCTTTCCAATCCAATCTCCCCATCTATTACCTCTCTCTTCTCCATTCCCACGAAAGTTGCTAATGAGCTTGATAAAGTGAAAGTCATCTAAACCTTCCTTTGAAGGGAATGAATAACAATAGGGTCTAAACCTTGTTAGATGGGCAAAGGAAAGAATAACAATGGGGGTTTGAACCTTGTTAGATGGGAACAAGTGCATAAATCTTTTGAGGAAGGTCGCTTCGGTCTTTTTAGCTTGCAAAAAACAGAGCTCTCTTCGCCAAGTGGAATTGGAGGTACTTGACCGAAGACCATACTCTATGGAGAAGCCTTATTAAAGCTAAGTACTCCATTCTTGATTCTTGCACAACAGCCCCCAATCGTTCCCTCAAAATGGCCAGAGGACCATGGAGAGACATTACCAAGCACAACCCTTTGATATTGGATATAATCACATATAAGGTGGGTTATGGCTCCCTTACCCTTTTCTGGAAGGATATATGGCTCACTAACAAGCCTCTTTTCCACACCTATCCCCTCCTCTTTGCCTTGCATATCACGAAAGAAGACCGGATTAGAGATTTTTGGTCCCTAGATAGCAACTCATGGGACATTCATTTTGGAAGGAATCTTAAGGATATTTTTTTTTTAACAAGAAATGAACTTTTCATTGATAGATGAAAAGGAACATAAAATGTTCAAAGATACAAACTCCCAAGGGAGTGAAAAAAAATAAAATAAAAAGATACAATCCAGAATAGCAAAAATAAAAAGACAGAGTATCATCCTGTGTATGTCTAACTAGGGAAAATGAAAGCCCCCAATTAACATATATCATGTTTGGAGAATAATTAGCAAAAAGATTGGATAGAGCACACCATTGAGACGCTTTAAACTTAGCCAAGCTGAAGCACTCCACCGAAGGTCTTCTTTTTTCCTCAAAAATCCTTTGGCTTCTCTCAAACCAAATCTTCGAGATGATAACTTTGACACCATTTACCCAAAGGAATCTTAAGGATATTGAGATTGTGGAATTGGCTGCTCTTCTCCATATTTTGTTTCCCATCCGACTCTCCTCAACTAGGGACGCCTTTGTTTGGAATCGAATGGCTCCTTCACCACCAACTCTTTACTAAAAGATATGCAAAGCCCCATTGAATCTTCATCTTCGCCCAAATTTTATAGGGCCATATGGAAAGACTCCTATCCTAAAAAGATTAAGTTCTTTCTTTGGAAACTTGCCTCTTGCACTAAACACGCATGACAAGCTAGAAACAAGAGAATGTCTTATATGCAACTCTCTCCTTGCTGGTGTACTCTTTTGTGTTAATTGATAAGAAAAAATAATTATTTCTTACTTACTTCCAAAGAATTGATACAAGACTATAAATAGGAGCTACAAAGAAGAAAAGAAAAGAAACTCTTGCCTATTAGGATAAGAAAACACTTACCCGTTAGAACAAGGAAACCTAACCTAAATACAATAGGAAATTAAAAGAAACTAATATAATTTAACACTCTCCTCAAGTTGGTGAATGAATATTTTCCATTCCCAGCTTGCTAACCAAATGCTCAATGTTGTCGTTGTTCAATCCTTTAGTTAGGATATCTGCTATTTGATTATTTGTTGGTACAAATGGAGTACATATGAAATCGCTGTCTAACTTCTCTTTTATGAAGTGTCTATCAACCTCAACATGTTTGGTTCTATCATGTTGAACTGGATTATGTGCAATACTGATGGCAGATTTATTATCACAGTAAAGTTTCATAGGCATTTCCTATGGAATCTTCAAATCTTCTAAAATAACTTTTATCCACAGTAATTCGCAGATGCCCAATGTCATTGCTCTAAATTCTGCTTTTGAGCTCAATCTTGCAACTGCATTTTGTTTTCTACTTCTCCATGTCACTAAGTTTCCACCAAATAAAGTACAATAGTCAGAAGTAGATTATCTATCATCTATTGATCCTGCATAATCTGCATCTGTATAAACTTCTAGATTGAGTTTCTCGCCTTTCTCAAACAACAATCCTCTCCCAATGGAGCTTTTCAAATAGTGAAGTATTCGGTACACTGCTTGGAGATGAACTTCTTTTGGACTATGCATAAATTGACTTACTACTCCTACCGCATACGCAATATCTGGTCTCGTATGAGAAAGATATATTAATTTTCCAACTAACCTCTGGTAAGTTTCCTTATTTACTAGAGGACTCTCTTCAAATGCACATAATCTATGGTTTTGATCAATTGGCGTTCCCATCGGTTTGCTGCCAAGCTTTCCTGTTTCAAAAAGAAAGTCAATCACATATTTCTGTTGTGATAGGAATATGTCTTGTTTAGAATAGGCAACTTCTATTCCAAGAAAATATTTCAGCTTTCCTAGTTTTTTAACTTCAAACTCTTGGATTAAACAATTTCTCAATTTATCTTGTTAGTTATTATCATTACCAGTGACAATAATATCATCGATATAAACAATTAGTGTTGTCACTCCCCCTGTAGTAGAATATTTTATAAACAATGTATGATCTCCCTAACTTTGTTTATAGCTCATCTTCCTCATAACTTGAAAAAATCTACCAAATCATGTCCTAGGAGATTGCTTTAATCCATACAACATCTTTCTTAATTTACAAACTTTATCTCCTGCTTGCTCATACCCAGGTGGAATCTCGATATAAATTTCTTCTTCAAGATCACCATGCAAAAATGCATTTTTTACATCATATTGTAACATGTCTCACCCATGATTTATAGCAAGAGATAGAAATACTCGTATCGTGTTCATCTTGGCAACGGGTGCAAAGGTTTCAAGGTAATCAACTCCATATATTTGAGTATATCCTTTAGCAACCAACCGTGTTTTGTACCTCTCAAGTGTTCCATCTGCTCTATGTTTCACAGTATATATCCATCGATATCCTATAGCTTTCTTATCTTTAGGCATAGTAACCAACTCCCACGTTCTATTTTTTTCTAAAGCCTACATTTCAAGATTCATTGCTTGCCTCCATTCTTCATGTTGTATTGCCTCCATATATGTTTTTGGAATATCTACCTGAGTAAGATTAACCATGAAACTTCTGTACTGACTTGAGAATTTGTCATATATGATACAAAGTGAGACAATGGATATTGAGTACAAGTTCGTTTTCCCTTCCTTAAAGCAATAGGCAAATCCAGGTCTGACTCATCATTAGCAGATATTGTAATGTTTGATTCATCAGTGATTCTTTTATCGTCAATTTCAGTTCTAGAGATATGATCAAACTCTTGGACTTGCGTATCTTTTTCAATGTTCCTTCTTGAATAAATTTGTAATGGTATAGTAGAAGAAGCGTTAGATAGCCTTGGTGAGGTGCCTATGGGAGGTAAAGGGTTATTTGGCCCTGGTGAGGTGTCTATGAGTGGTAAAAGATGAGGATTGACTAATGTTGGTGTCAATTTCAATAGGGCTTGGTACAGGTGATGGTAAAGGATTTAATACAGGAAATGTGAGGTTGGGAATGGGCAAATTCTTATCTTCCAACAATATTTCCTCCCCCTGAAGATAAGGTAAGGTAAAGAAGCTCATGTCTTCATAAAAGATACATCAGTAGAGATGAAGTACCTTTTTGAAGGAGGATGATAGCATTTATATCCCTTTTGAGTGTTCAAGTATCCTACAAAAATACACTTGAGCACTCGTGGATCAAGTTTACCTCGCCGATGACTGTGAACATGAACAAAGGCTACACAACCAAATACTCGAGGAATCAAGTTATTTGTCGTTTGAAAATCAGGATAAAATTTTGATAGGATATCCATAGGAGTTTTCTAATCTAGAGTAGCAGATGGTAAACGATTGATTAAATAAGTGTCTGTTAGCACAGCTTCCCCCAATAAGGATTTAGGAAAATTTCTTTGAAAAAGAATAGCACGTGCCACAGAAAGAATGTAACCAATTTTTCTTTCGGCCACTCCATTTTGTTGAGGAGTGTCCACACAAGATGACTCAATTTTCCTGAAATAATGATGTTAGATTTTGATTGAAATAAGCTCGAGCATTGTCAGAGCGGAATCGTTTGGGAAAACTATTTTGACCAATAGGTTCATCAAGATAATAGAGTCCATTTTTTTCGATCGCAAGTCCAATCGTCTTCACATTACCCTGGTCCTGTAAAATACAAGAAAAATCAAAAAAAATTAATCTGCATCCTAAATCTTTGATCAAATTCTTCACTGAGATCAAATTAACAGTTAGACGTGGTATATGGAGCATATTTTTTAACATAATGTTCGAATTTATCTTGATGTCTCCTTGACCAGCCACTGTTACTAAGGTACCATCTGCTGTGGAAATTTTTTATTGCTCGGTAGTCAAGGACTACAAGAGATAAAATGACAGTTACTATTCGTCATATGGTCAGTTGCACCAGAATCAATAATCCAAGTACAACGTTTAGGCTGAGAAGTTGTACTTGTCAAAGTTACCGAACCTGTACCTTCACTAGGAGCATTATCCAAAGTTTTTAAAAGGCTCCTTAATTATTTGATCTCATGTAAAAATCATAGTGGGTCTATCGGCCACCTTTTCGTCTCATGCAAATACACATCTGGCCTCTGGAACAAAATCCTTACCCTTTTCGGATGGTTGACTACTCTCCCTATCGACATGTCCCTTTTCTTGGCTTCTACGCTCAATGGTCATTCGTTCAAGAATGAGAAAAAGTGTATCTAGCTTCATTTTAAACGGGCTCTACCATGGATCATATCGGTGGAAAGAAATCGAAGGATCTTTCATGATAAGGAACGCTCTCTTCATCACTCTTTTGAATCTATAGTTTTTTTTTTAGTTATATCTTGGTGTAAATGCTCTCTTCTTTTTCATCATTATAGTTTTGCTTCATTATTATCCAATTGGAAAGCTTTTTTGTGACCCTTATTGGGTTCTCTCCCACTCCCACATTTTGTAACCTTCTCTCTCCTATTTCATTCTATCAATGAAATCATTTCATTTCCGAAAAATAAAAAAATAACACACCCTCATCCTCATCCCCCAATGAATCATCCACCTTTGTGATATTTGTGAGTGGCTACCTTGCAAGCATCGTTGCAAAAAAAACTTTAAAGTATTTTAAATCCAAGGTGGGTGGCTACCATAGTTTGAACCTATTTGCCTTGATTAAAAAATTCTCTTATTTTTTAAGGATGACGTAACACAAAAGGTAACTGGCCAGCATGGGATTAGAAGTAAATTATCGTAGAGAGATAAAATAATCATTCATACTCAAATTTAGTGTTTTTATATAAAGTGAGGCATACTATAATAAAACTCCCTTGAACTTCATTGTGAAGCAAGGAAAAAATAAATAAATGAATAATAGAAAAGGCAGATTTTTTCTTTTTTTGTGAAGCATATAATATAAAGTTATAAATACATTTCTTATGTAAAAAGATATATAAGTAATGAAATCTAATAGGGATAAAAACAGCGTGCAAACCAAGGTTCCAAGTAAGATTGTTACAAATTAAAATTGTACCATGAAAAATAGAAGAAAATGTTGAGACTCCATATATATGAATTAAATTTACCCAACCCAACAGCTTAAACTTTTGGGTTGAGTGGTGGTTTATTCATCCTTAACATGGTATCAAAGTGGGAGATTTTGCGCTGTATTGTTGTTTCCTCCCCATTTATAATGAAAATTTACCCAACCAATCAGCTTAAACTTTTGGTGGTTTATTCATTCTTAACAGAAAATAATAACATGGAATTGCAAACAGAAACATACTGCAAGAAGCCTCTGTACTAAAATCACGAGATCCTTTAATTGATGCCAGAGTAAATATTCCATGCCTGAATCTGAGTCTTTTGAAGAGTTGCTAATTTGTTTCTCTCGCTGGTCATCAACAATAGTTGAAAAGAAAGTTACTTGCTGATGAGATGAGCTTGAATTTAATCTTTTCTGCCTAGTTTGAACCTCAGACTTTCTGGTCAGCGCATTAGTCAGAGATACAACACAATCAGCAGCACAGACTGAGAGGCGAGAAGGTAACTCAAATCCTTCCTGCATACTACTGCAAAATAAATTAATCCATGAGATGTAAAAGCCAAAAATGCAAACGCAACACAAACAAAATTAGATAACACAGTTCCACATTGGAAAGTGAAGTTATCTAGAGAAATATTGGAACAGCATATTTAAGATGAAAGATGGTATATGGTATTCATTGCAGCATTAGCCAAATGTTACAACATTCTTTTTTTTTATTCTTCTTTTTTTTTCTTTTTAGAGCTGGGAGTCAGAGCTTCGCTCCCAAGACACCCGTGCCCGTCTCAAGGTCTGGACTCGAGAGACATCAAGGGTTTTTGAAATTAAGCTCGCCAAAATATTTGAATTTGAGACTTCTAAGCCCATATGACCAAGAGAGCTAAGCTCTTGCCAACCGGACTGTGCCAATTGTTACAACATTCAAAAAAGATAAAAGGCAAAATACACAAGTTAACATGAAAAGCAGGTGCTGACAGCCTTGTTATGACAAGGAGAAGGAATTTACCTTCCTTTACTTAAAATACATGCCAGACGTGGAATGCATGTGCAGAATACCTTCAACATATCGTTGAATCTCTCCCTTAACCCTATTCAAAACAAAAGATAAGTCAATACCAAAAATAAGGGACGTTATCAACAGCATTTTAGTTTATAAATACAAATTTCAGTACCATTCGATGAAAATTCACTGGCGACAGACTCGTACTCCACAAGACTACGAACAAGGATACACCAGCCGAGGGCGACATAGCGATCATCCTTCCTCGCAATAATATCAGCAAGATTTTTGATAAGCGGCTGGAAAATAAGCTCTTCAAGGAACAGCCAGTTGAGGAGCACCATAACTTGCCCCCCTCGCTTCCAGTTCCTGTCCTTGAATCTCAATGACTGCGCGATTACACTTGAAGTTTTAATCGACGGACTGGAAGTTTCATTAGCAAACATAAAATTATAAAACAGAAAAAGATGATGATGAATGAGGTTACATGTTCGATCATGGGGACGAGGATTTCATCGAAAGAGGCGTGGTTTTGAGCAGCGTCCCTGACATAGTTGTGCAGAAACCAGAGGGATTCGTCCAGAGAATCTGTGGAACCAGCATAATTCATTGCTGTATACTACCACTCAAACGGAAACGATTGAAGGTGAAATGAGAGACGAACCTAGTGAAGAAGCTCCGCGGCGGTGGTCGGGGAAGAGACGGGAGACGGCGTCGGCGAGCTTCTTAGGGCGAGCACCGAGGAGAGTGACCATGACTCTGCCAACCGTGACTGAGATCATAGATTGAGGTGCTGAGTCCGACTTCCATAGGAGCAGTCCCCCTTCGTCTTCTTCCATTGGAATACCACGCAGAAGAAAGAAAGAATAGACTACGGAAATGGAAAACCAAGGCTGGACATTAATTTGGAAGAACTTTTATGCAATGTTTTAAGATATTTTACGAAGGCTACAATATAAATGGCATTTGGTTCATTTTCTTCGTAATTTCAACCTTAATCGGACATTTGAAAAGAAAAACCAAAAAAAAATTACTATTTTACATAATAAAATAATAAAGCTAAAATTATGTTTTAAATAAAGGATTACATTTCTTACCTTTGTGACTATCTAACGATTCTTCCATGATTTCTTCCCTCTTCTCTTATTTTCTATTTTTCATTTGGTTCTACTGAGGTTGGATTGTAGTATGGAAAATCAGTATCTTTTCACATCTAGTACGAACATTCTTGAACTTTGCTCTTATTCTATTAAGAAGTCACCAAATGAAACTGTTGAGAAAGATATAAGTCAAATCAAGGAAATTGTTGATGAACTCTTGTCATCATCATGATTTGCCTTGGAGATCTTCATGTTATGCTGAGGCTGAAGACAAACATATTGTTTCACTTACCAAAACTTTTGATCTTCTTTTGCTACTACTATTGTGGAAATGTAAATTTCAAAGGATATTTTGGCAATTTGAGTGGTGTGGTGTGAACCCTATCACTTTTATAGAAGGACATGGCTAGCAACTTTATGGATACAAACCTCATAGATAGTTCCACATGTAGGAGAAATGAAAGTGTGGATGTCACTCAAGTCATATAGACGCACAATCGTAAACTCGACAAAGACTCTGTAATTGGGAGTACATACTCATTCTAGACGCAACAGCAGATGCATTCTTTAAAAGAATAGAAGAAGGAGACGAGTCGTCTAGATAAAGGAAAATGGAGCAAGGCTAGGTGCTTTTGGAGAAGAAGAAAAAGTCTTGTACTTCGGGAGAAGGAAAACTTGACATTGTATAATTATACTCAAAATGGTAAATTTTGACAAATAAGAGTATTGTGTGAAGATGTCAACAATTATTTACAATTACATTTGGGTAAAAAGTGTTAAACATAATTTTCTTACATTACAAGTACAAAAACAACACGGTGTGTAGGGTGAAGATTCGAACTCATGAACTTGTGGCAAGAGATATATCGCTTAACCAATTAAATTATACAGGTTGACATAAATGAAATCATATCCAACAACTATTCTTTTTCCTTTTTCCTTCCTGAAAACACAATTGATATTAATTTAAGTGGAAAAATATTTGTGTCAGCCATTAATGTAATAATAAAAGAATAAAAGAGATATCAATGACTATTTGATAAAAAGAGATATTTAAAGATAGAAAGAATCCTATTAACTTTGTTTTAGTCATTCAAAAATTGCAAACTAACTAAAAGTTTTTCTTATTAGAATCATTTTTGTGTATGTTAATTGTGTTTATATGTTCAAGATAGAGTAAAGTCATAGCTGCCCGTTATCCCCTAGAGCTCAATCTTCAACTCCCCTCGTCGTTGTTGTTTTTTTTGGCACAATTTTAGTTAAATGAAAATGAGTAATGACAATTTTGTAAAATAATAAATTTGTCATTACATATTGCAATGTCTTCATCTTGACTGGTGCCGCCTTGAGCCATCTTCAAACATGCATAGTTTTAGTTATAGTTTAGTGAGAATGGTCGTAACTAATTTTGTAACTTCTGCTCGTAGTTGCAGTGAGGCTCAACCTAAAATATAGAAAAACGAGGTGATCGTTTAAGACCTCCAATTTTAGAATCCCTCGTATTTTCCATTGTACATATAATATATATACATTAAATTTATAAGTGTAATTTATTATATATAATATATTTTTCCATAAATGGAGCCACGTGGTGTGGGGAGATAAACCATGTACATGTAAGTTTGAAGTCATACCAAAACCTCCAAATCTGTGACCAACGACCCAATTAGAGAGTGCAAATCAAGGTTCTAAATTCAGAAACAAATGCCTAAAAAGGCGACGAAAACTCGAAGCAAAGATTCAATAATCTAAGACCTAAATGGCACGACGGTCCTTGTACATCCAAGCAATGCATATTGCATTCGCTTGAGTGGAAATCAATGTATGAATCGAAACCCAGATGAAAAATCAATATAATTCCAGTTTCATGAACCATAAAATTAGCTATAATTCCAGTTTTATAGCAACATGAAGAACCTTTGGAACTTAAAAGATGCAGAAACTAATGAGTGGACATCACTCTCGCACCAACTCTCCTTCATCCATTTCTCTACAGAGGCCGATTTGATGTATTGGAAGCTTGAGACAAATTGTATTTTCTCTACCAGCTCCCTTGCCAAAGACCTTTCTTCCAACTTTCCAGTCTCTACTCCAAAGCTATATGACGTCATTTCGATAGGCCCATACCCAACGAAGGTAAAAAATTTTCTCTGGGAGTACGGTCGCCGAGCTATCAACACAAATGAAAAGCTACAAAGAAGAATGCCTTACATGTCCCTCTCTTCCCAATGGTATTTGATGTGCAAACACAGCGAGGAATCACAAAACCACCTTTTTTCTTCCTGTCAGTTTGCTACAGTAATCTGGAACATCATTCTATCAACTTTTGGCTGGTGCACTGCTCTTCCAATAGACCCTCCTCTCCTCTTGGAAGCTACTCTTGTAGGCCACCCCTTCAAAAAAAAGGAAAGAAGCTACTTTGGATGCACTTTGTTCAAATCATCGAACCTTCCAAGATAAGGAACAATCTATGGAGCAACTTTTTGATGCTATAGTTTACCTAATCATTTTTGGGCGTAAATGCTCCCCTTTATTTAGCAACTATAGCCACACTTCCCTAATAGACAATTGGGAGTTCTTCATGTAACCCTATTTGAGGCTTTTATAATTTCATATCATCAATGAAATTGTTTCTTTCACTAAAAAATAAATTAAATAAGAATTCAAAAAGTTGATTTCAAAATCAAATTTTTCATAGATCAATTCGACATCAGCCAAAAATCGAATCAAATCGACCTCGCCGCAAGACATGTGAACTCTGCATAATTATTCTTGTTGGTCTATATCTGTATCCATCCATACCATTTCCTGTGCTAATCGAGCCCTTCAAAAGAACTACATTAGGCTCTCCTAATCATATGAGAAATGTTACAACAGCCTCAACTACCATCATATTCAAATGCTTATGCAAGATTCTTGAATTTACTCCAAAAATATATCTCAAGATGATGACATGTGGTTAAAATTCCTCTGCCAGTGCAAGCTCCACCTTACCTGGGAGCTCCACCAGCATAGTCAAATTGCACGCATAAGAAAGGATCAATTGACGACCCGAATCATTTGTATAACAGTGCATCACGGCCTGGACCGACACCGATGTAATGCACGGGTATGCCCACAAGTTCTTCAATCCTTGATACATATTCTTTTGCAGCCTTGGGAAGGTCAGAATAGTCTCTTATTGAAGAGATGTCACTCGTCCATCCAGGCATTGTTTCATATTCCACCTAAACACACAGCAAAAACAGATGGAAAAAAGTAACTAAGAACTTTAGACAGCATCAAGAAAAGTTATTTTTTGACTTGAAAACTTCAAAAAATAAATCATTTTCTTTTTACAAACGTTATTGTTTTCTCAGGGACTTTCTAGAACAAACATGAGTTGGACTCTACGTTAGGAGTTTCTGATCGAACTCTCTTCTATTATTTATATTAAGAAGGCATCACAAGGGGCCGGGAGGATCAGAGAGCTCTCATACCTCTCCCAAACAGTCCTTAACAAAATGACAAAAAGATACCCCTACCTTCTACCGTGGGTGTATTTACCCTATTTACAAAATACCGATACAGCCCCTTAACAAACTAGAGCCCACTAACATACATTCTAATTCCTTGTTCAAAGAACATTCATTTTAATTCCTGACACTCCCCCACTCTCTTTCCTCTCTTTCTTGAATACACTGTCTTCAGTTCTTCACGCGGCCTATCAGTTTCCAAAACCAAAACTTATGCCTATCTTCTATAGCCGTGCACCAAATATGAATACACTGTCTTCACAGGACCTATCAGCTTCCAAAACCGAAACTTATGCCTATCTTCTATAGCCATGTGCACCAAACAATTGAGTAATATGGTCCTTTACCCAAAAACATCCAAAATCTTGTAGCACATAATCCCAATCATTACCAGCAGTTTTTCTTTTTTAGTAATGAAATGAAAGAACACGTGATAACATATTCAAAACACAACTAAATGCATTTCAGAATTCATCTTTTTGAAACACGACAAATATTGTACTGACATTTAAAAAGTTACTGTAAGAATTAATAGGATGTTGACCTATACAACTATTCCTCATCTTCTAAACCCATGCCCACACCAAACAGTTGAGTAATATACTGTTCTTAACGAAAGCATAAACTACCCAAGAACATTCAAAATCGTGCAGCATACAATCAATCCCATACCAACACTTTTTACCCAAGTAACAATGAAAGAACATCCAAATCTTGGAGTACAGAATCCCATATTAGATAGCATTTTATAAGCCCGTCACCTGGGTTTTCACCTTCCAGAACGTGTATCTTTTAATCTTATGTTTTCGTTTATTTATTCTTCTTAGGAAGCCATCAAAGCCAAGTCACCATCTGAAACTCTTTTTATCAATGAGGCTACTAAGGCATCCCCAACTAACAAAACCAATAATGGAAACAAATGATCACCTTATCTGGGCACAAATCCACCATCTAGATCTTCCCTTGAGAACATCAGCAAAATTTGCTCTATATGTGCAACCTATGATCTAATATATAATTCTCCGTTTCTCACTGAAAAAGTATATATGTGTGACCTATGTTCCAATTGATCCACTTATGGCCAAAACCTTTTCTTTTTCGTCACCTCACATAAAAACTCCCAATGGTAGGCTTTTTCAAGGTTTGGTTTGAACAACCCACCTTTTATTTGTTCACACTTTATAATCTTAAAAAGCTTAATTGCAATCAAAACCAAATTAAGGATTTTCCTATCTTGAATGAATGTATAACGATTAGAAGAGATGGTTGAAGGCAAAACTCTCGTTAATCACTGGGCAAGCACTTTGGCTATTAATTTGTAAGCACTTGTAATCAAGCTTATAGGTTAGGTCTATAATCTATATTCTTGACTATCAAACTTTTTCCTACCTTTGAATAAAAATATTAAAATTCTCATTTAAGCATGAGTTATAAGATAACCATTGTCAGATAACTCGTGAAATGAACCATAAAAATCAGCTCCAGTTTGATCAAAGGTAAAACCATCAGGCTGGGATTTTTAGCTCCTCCCACATTTTTAATGGCAAGCAACAAGAAATTCTTCAGAAGGCCTTACCAAACATCTTTTATCAATTAAAGGTATATATCACCAGCCCAAGTCCTCGGTAATGAACTTTTTCCCCTACTCTTTTTTGTACAACTTTCTGAACTACTGAAAAACTGAAGAACTTTCTACTCAATTCTTATATCATTAACTAAACTCGTAACTTCATTTAAAATTAACTAAAAGCAGGGAAAATGGGAAATACACAAGAAAAAAAAGATGCATAATGCTTGCCTTTATTTGTTCAAGAAGACTAAGATCTGCAGGAAATGATTTGACTGGTGTTCCATCAGGTTGCCGATAAGAAACCCCCAATTGTATCTCAGGCAGTTCCGAAAGAACATCAAGTTTTGTAAGATTCAGAGAAGAAAATCCATTAATTTGACAGCAATACTTTAGTGCAACTATATCAAGCCAACCACAGCGACGAGGACGACCAGTTGTGGTGCCAAATTCTTGTCCAGCAAATCTGAGTAGGTCACCTCCTTTTCCCAAGATCTCAGTAGGAAAAGGGCCCGAACCAACTCTAGTAGTGTATGCCTTCACCTGCAAAGATCGTGACAAACAACCTCATGGGTATAGCATATATGATATATAAATCATCAGCTAAATAATTTGTTACTCATGCTTGTGTTAGTAAATTTCTCGACAGGGTTGAAGGAACTCCAAGAAGATAAAAGAGGTGAAAAGAACTCGCAGTTCTTTCATCAACTAATGAAAAGTGATCATTTCTACATTTGAAAAAATATATATATACCGAGTCAAAAGAAACTCACCACTCCTATAAGATCACCAAGAACCTTTGGAGCAATCCCAAGGCCAGTGCAAATCCCACCTGCTGAAGGGCTGGAGGAAGTTACAAAAGGATAAGTTCCAAAGTCGATATCGAGCATAGTTGCCTGACCTCCTTCAACCAAAATCTTCTTATTTGCAGAGATAGCATCATTCATGAAATACACAGTGTCGGTGATAAAGGGTTCCAATCTCTCAGCATATCTTTTGTACTTCTCAACTTCTTGCTTCAGAATTTCTGGGGTATAGTTAAAATCCTTGAATCTCGAAGCAGCATCTGAAAGTAGAAGGTCAAGTTTCTGAGGAAGAGTGTCCATGTGCCTCAAATCACCCACTCTAATACCATTTCTAATCACTTTGCTGGAGTAACAAGGTCCAATCCCTCTTCTGGTGGTTCCAATGAAAGATTTAGCTAGTTCAGCTTCTCTAAGCCCATCCACCTCCTGATGGAAATCAAATAGCAAATGGGCTCGGTCAGACACCAAGATCCTTCCCTTGCATGAGACTCCGCTTGCTTCCAAACGGTCTATTTCTTCAAAGAAACCAGGCACGTGCACGACAACCCCATTTCCAATAACACATAAAGTATCTTCATTAAGAATCCCAGAGGGAATGAGATGAAGAGCAAACTTCTTCCCTTCAGCATTATATATCGTGTGTCCAGCATTAGCCCCGCCCTGCAAATTATCTTCAACATTCAGATATTACATATAAATGCAAAAGTGGGAAACAAGTTGCTTAGTTTAGTTGCTCTTCGACTTTCGAGAACAGGACGTACTAGTTTAGTTCTTGAGAGCGAAGACTAAAGAACCTACTAAAAAGATAAAGTCCCACTAGAACCAAAATGACTCGAAGACTCTTCTGAAAGTAAAAGCTCAAGTGCAAACTCCCCATTCTTCAGAGAGCTGCAAATATAGAAGACAAGATTACAGGTGGTTTCTTATATGCTTCAATGGCCGGAAGACAGAGTACAGAAAAAAGAGGAGATACTGAAATTCCATGAATCCAAAAATCCAATGGCAAAAGCAGAAGACACGCAGCAGAATCATCCAAAAAGAAAAGCACACATCACTGAAACTTTTGGAATCCTGAATACCTGACAGCGAGCGACGATTTCGAAGTGCTGAGCCAAGATGTCAACGAGTTTACCTTTACCTTCATCTCCCCACTGGCAGCCTAACACGCCCGATACCTGTCCCAGTTCACCAATTCGTTTCAGCCCCTCCTTCCTCGCCGACTCCGGCACACTCACAGAAGAAGTAGCCGCCGCCGCCGCGGGTTTAGCAGAAGAGCAAAAAATGAGCGCTGGGCGGCGATCAGAAAGGGGTCTCCGGCAGGTCGGCGACGGCCATGTGGCGGAGGGGAAGGGAGTGGCATCAAAAGCAAGGGAGGAGATGTTCATGGCGAAGATGAGAGAGCAGAGAGAACCCAGAAACGAAGAGAGGGTTTGGACGCCGGAGGACAGAAGCGGGTCAGTGATTGGAGTATCATTAAAGGCCAAAGGGCCGTTCACAATTCGGTTCGAACCGGTTTTGGAGTCGAACCGAAATCAAACCGTATTTTTCAAATGGCCGGAAGAGGCCGAGCGGTGGCTGGCGGCGGCAGCGACTGCTCAGGCGGAGGTGGTACGGCCGCTTCCTGAAGAAGAGATTAAAAAGAAATCTTAACAAAGAAACAGAATCCAGAAGAAACGAAAAAAATATAAATAAACAGTTCCCATCCTCGTCCACTCATGGCATAATATTAAATTTCAGTCGATCAAAAATTCATATTAATTGAGGTAAATATTGAAAAAGAAATCGATAAAATATTAATAATTTTTTACTTATTTAAAAACTGTAAAATATTTATTTGTTACCTTAAATATGTTATGAATTCTTTATATTCATAACTTTCTAAGAAATGTTTACCAATGCCACATTTTAAAAATAGACATAAAAAGAGTACTATAAATAAGATTAAATTATAAGTTTAGTCGTGGATGGTTAAATTTGTGTCGGATTCTAAACTTAGAAAAGTTTTTAGGACTAAGAAATAAAGTTTAACCCTTTAATTTATCAAGTTGCATAAATTTTCACTATAAACTTTTAATTTCATCAAATTGGATCCTACACTTAAATATGTGTGGTAATTTTTACCTTTTCTTTTCAATTTCTGCTAATTCGACCACTAGTTTTAAGCAAAAACAATGTAGTGATATTTAAAAATTCACTAATTTTTATGAAATCAAACTTGACACAAAATTAAGTTTGATTAATGCACAAAATCGATAATTCAATAACCCTCCCATAACTCATAAATTTCAATCGGAAAAAAATGTATTGTGTTTTTTTTTTTTTTAATTCTATCAGTTTTGTAGTAGACATATGTTTTACAGTTTACTGAATGCAGATATTTAACGAAAAATTATCAAAATGTAAAAATTGCTAACATGATATCTAAGTTTAAGGTGCAAGTCGATGAAATTAATAGTTCATGATAAAAGTTATCAAATTCATAGTAAAAAATTGATCTTTTTCTAAATTTTTAATAGCTAATGTATTTTCGCATATTATATAAGTCTCTAAACTAAAAAACAAAAAAGTCTAATCCAGTCCATCAACTAAAAAAGTTTCTAATAGGACTCTAAACTTTTGATGCTCCGTCTAATAAGTCTCTAAACTTAAAAAATTTCTAGTAGATCCCAACTTTCAATTAATTTATTACCAATCACTTTCAATTTTGTGTCTAATAGATTTCTAATCTATCAAACAATTTCAAAAAGTTCAACGACTCATTGGATACAAAATTAAGGAACTTATTACACACTTCTTTATCCATTAGACACACAACCATGAAAATTTAGAGACCTATTTAAATATTTGTTAATATTTAGAGACATATATATTAGATCTAACTTTAAAAGTTTATGGACCCAATTTATAATTTAACCTATAAATTAGTATAGAAATTTATTTGATTAAGAATGCATTTGGATAAACTTCTTTAAGTGATTATAGAGGACCAAAAGTGTTTTCTTTTTCTATCTCGAGTGTTTGATTACAAATAAATATAACACTCGAGATTAAAAAAGAAAAAAACACTTATACATGTTGAGGGTGCTTGCCATTCGTGTTATTTCTGGAGAGGAATGGTGTGGTGTAGGGATTTAGTAAATCTTGGATATTGATTTTTACAAGGATGATGCTTAGATTCATGGCGAACAAAATTTTTCATCCTATAACTACTAATCTGAATCCGAACAGGGAACTAGTGGTGGTTGGGTTCATTTAATTGTCCAAAGGATGGGACGTCGAGAAACTTCGAACAGAGGTATGTATAGAAGATGTGAGGTTATATCTAAGATTCCGATTAGTTGTATGGGGTCGAATGACTGGACATGACACTTTAGTAATCTAGGCCATATGAGGTCGAGACATCTAACATGTTCTACTAGTGACAAACATAGTGAGACAAGGTGGTCGAGTGATTCTCGACTCTAATTCGAAGGAGGCTATTGAGCTCATCAATTGCCAGGAAAATGAGATCGACACTTGGGGTTGGTGGTATCACAAATTTGGTAAGGAATTTTTTGAATTTTGAATGTAAGCCGGAGGGAACAAAATAGGGCTGCCCATTTGCTTGCAGGGGATTCTTTGCAAACAAATCACCCATTCTTTACTTTAAGTCTATTAAGTGGATGCTAATGTTTGAAATAGGGTTCACGCTTTGAAATAATGTAGCTAGGGATGTTCATGGATGGGACAGGTACGAGGAATGCTTCTCATTCCCATCCTTCCATTTAATTCCTCAATCCTGCGAAATTTCCTATGAAATTTTGTAGGGATCGGGGTGGGGATTCCCTGTGGGGAATTCACAGGGATCAAGTTCTTCGTTGGGATTTTTTTCCGTTTATTCTTTTACTTTTAAATTATTTTTCAATTAAATGTTTTTCTTACGAAAATTTGAAGTTGCGTGGCAGGGAGCGGGGAATGCATTCCTCATCACCGTCTCCATCCTCACTTAGGTGACGGAGAAAAAACTTTCCCCATCTCCATCCCGTGAGGAATTTAAATGGGGATTCCTTGCCCCATTTAGGCACGTCTTCGCAGGGATGGGACCCGTAGAAAAAATCCCTAGGTGTAGCCACTTTGACTTTCTAATTGGTTTTATAAATTCTTTATTTAAGGGAAAAAAAGAGAAAAAAAGTCTTTCGCAAACCATGAAGCTACTCTGACTTTCTATTTGGCTTTATTTAAAAATACTAATAATAAATTATTTCGCAAAGCATTATAGCTTTTCAAGGCGGATCTAGAATTATGCGCTAGAGTACAAACTCATATAAATATACTCGTTTTGCCTTTTAACTTTTTAGTATATCAAATTTAATTATAATTTAAATCGAACAAAACTTTAAATGGATTGAAAGGTTAAACATTATCTGCGAATATAAGTTTAGTTCAACAGGTCACGAATTCGAATGGGGTTTGGGCAAAAGTAGTCTTTTTGGAGGGCCCACTTTGATATATGTTCCTATTTCTATCTAATCACTCGATAACATCAATTTTGTGTAAAAATATGTATATCCTCTTCATTTTTTCTTCAATTTATCACTTTCTCTTCCCTTTTTCTCTCTTCTTTCCTCTCTCATCTCATTACAAATTCTCTGAAAAATCCAACATCCACTTTCTCTCTCTTCTTTACTCACCATAAAAAAAACAAGCAGCTTCATTTACGATTTTTTTTTTCCAATGAGAGACAGACGCCAAGAGCGAGAGCGAGAGGGGTGAGAGCTTTTTTTGTGGGCTCTGTGTTTTTTCTTTTTATTTGGGGGGTTTCTATGAACTCCTTGTTCTTGGTGTTCTTTGTTGAGATTGGGAGGATGGATGAAGAATAAGAAAGAGAGAGGAGAGAGAGAAGTGCATGCCTTTAAAATCAAAACAAAAAAACCTAAAATCAAAGGAAAACAAAAAATCGAATGGAATGTGATGTAGAAAAAAATGGAAGAAAAAGAGAGGGAGAGGGAGGAGTGCATGTCCTTAATCGAGTGAAAAAAGAAATTCTAAAATAAGATATCTCAAATTATAACATATTAAAGAGAGAGATAAAAATGAGAAATTTGGTTGAATAGGCGTTCTGTAGGACTTTTTTGTTTTTAAGCGCCCTTTTGAAAACATAAGTTTTCTAGTCATAGATGATGTAAAATTATGTATTTATCATTCTTCCACATTTGAATAGGTGTTCTGTAGCAGCTTCCACGGATGCATCAAAACTGACAATGGAGGAGGTCGTTCATCGAAGAAAAAGACTTGGGGAGGGAGAAGGAAGGGGTTTTTTTCAATATTATTATATATTAAACTTATTTTAAAAATATTGTTATTTAATTAAAAATATTCGAAATACGGTAGTTTTTAAAACTTTTTTTTTTAAAAATATGGTTGTTTTAAAAAACCAAAGGATGGTCGTCAGACCATCCCTCGTGGTCGTCTAGAGACGACCATGCAACGTGGCGTCGGGCGCCACGTTGCATGGTTTATTAAATTTTGACGATTTTGAAGAGACGACCACGTCTCAAAATTAGCCACGTGTTAGATGGTCGTCTCTACAAAACCCACCCCAACCCTTTTTTAAAAGGCCTACCCCACCACAAAACTCCACCACCAATTTTTTATTCCGCCACCGCCGCCGCTTCGCTGCTCCGCCATCGACTCCCTCTGCCCCACCGCCGGCGTGCCGCCTCCTCTGCTCTTCCGCTGCCGCCGCCTCCTCCGGTGAGCGACTGCCTCTTCCTTCTTTTTTTTTCCGTTTTTTGTTTGTTTGTTTTGTTTGTTTGTTGTTTTGTAATCTAATTTTATTTATTCTTTTTGTTAGATTTGGGAACACTCCATTCCTTTTTTTTTTTTGAATTACAAAGGATAAAGATATTTTTTTCTTTGTTTTCTTTTATTATTATTATTCAATTTTATTTATTTATTTATATTTTGTGTTATATTTAATTGGTGAATGTATCTAATTTATTTGTTTAATTCGTACATATATTTTTAATTCATTTCTTTATTGGATGAATTTAGGCAATTATAAAATCTTATATTTATTTTGTGTTAGAATGAAACTTAGTTTAGTTAGATTTAATTGTTTTTAATTGTTAATTAATATATTATTTATTTGTTTAAATAGTATA